CCCCAAAACCCCAAAACCCCAAAACCCCATGGAGCTCATAATTAAGGAAATTAGGAATACCAAATAAAATAAATATCTTAATATAATGGAAAAGCATGTATCTTTGACATTACAAACTCTTTGGGACAAGTACACATTTGAATCTGAAATCTCTTAAGGTGCTTTTGGAATTGTATATAAAGTAAAGAATACAAAGGATGGGAAGTTCTATGCAATGAAGATACAAGATCTCAAAAAGCTAATCAACGATGTTCCTGATAACTATAGCAACGAATTCATTAGAATATTAAGAGAGATCAACACTTTTAAATTGTGCCACTCAAACATCACAAAAGTTTACGAGTCCTACTTCACAATCTAAGACTAATTCGTCATTATCACAGAGCTTGCTGAGAATGATCTTAAGTCTTACAGAAAGGCCAATTAGGACATCAGCAACGGAGAAATCATTGAAATCATGATTTAATTGATGAAAGGAACCAATTACCTCCACAAATAAAATATAATGCACAGAGATCTGAGTCCTGACAACATACTTGTTTTTAGGAATGGAACTGAATTCAAGCTTTGCGATCTTGGTCTTTCCACTCCAAATGTATAATCAAAGGTCTATGTAGGCAAATAGTATTTTAAAGCTCCAGAAATCAAAATAAGCAATGATTCAGAATACGGTTACAATCACTAAGTTGATATATGGTCAGCTGGAGTTATACTTTATTATCTATGCACTGAATAGTACAACTATGGACCAAAAAAGCTAAGATTAGCTGAAATAAAATAGCAAGATCCTTCTTGTGTATTTACACTTCCTCCAAACAGAAAAATATTTGAACCACTATTAAATAAAATGCTTAGACTTAATCCTCATCAAAGACCACAAGCACTTGAAATCATTTCTGACTTATGCTATCTCATTGGGGATTCTTTGTAATAGCATATTGATGAAGAAGAAGTTAAAATAAATGATGTCAATTCTAATCCTTTCGCATTAACTCTTTAATCACATACATCAAAAGTAAATGAAATTCTAACTTAGCTTGGAAACTTTAATTTCACTGCTGTTCAAAATATTCATACTAATCCTAATAGAATCTTTGTTTCATAAATCAAAGCTAGTGATTATCAATATTAAGGAGAAATAGATAATGATCTAAAATAACCAGATGGAAGAGGTAGAAAAATTACTTTATCGGGCTAAGTCCATGAAGGATTATGGAAAAATAATTAGCTAAATGGTTATGGTAGATAAATATTTTAAAATGGAAGCTATTATATAGGTGAGTTTAAAGATGGCAACGCTAATGGTTTTGGGAAGTATTATTTTACAAATGGGAATGTCTATAAAGGAAAATGGCTTTTGAATAAATCAGAGGGATTAGGCTTGTATAAATGGATTGATGGTGATTAATACTTTGGATAATGGGTGAATAATCAAAAATAAGGTGTAGGAGTATTCACTTGCAAATATGGAAATACTTATCTTGGATAATTTGAGAATAACCAATATCATGGAATATTTATGTACATTCAAAACGATGGAGAATAGATTCAAATAAGAAGATATGAAAATAATGAATATGAAGATACATTATTTGAAATTGATAATTCAAGCTCATGATTTAAACAGAAATTTATATTATTCAGCTTTCTAATCTAAGATTTATTTGAATTTACTAATACGTGGGGTTTTGGGGTTTTGGGG